AAATTTCCAAGAACCAATAAATTACATTGGTGTGGCCTAAAGCAGAAATGAAAATCAGGTAGAATGACTTATAAGGTATGCACATTGAATAGTGACAATTGGTTTGCTTTAATAGTACTATAATAAGTAATTAATTTACATTTGCTTGCAGTATCGAGGGTTTTCAGCAGATGGCCCCATTGCATCACCATTTGTCTTCTGTATGGATTGTGGCAACAGATGGAAGGTAAAAATAGGTCCAAGATTTGGAGCATTAATTTTGTTCCGTGACATTAAAACTTGACAGTCATGAAAGGCTCGTTCTCATTGAAATGTACAAAATAACACTGGTCATCTCAATTTAGGATAGTCACTGGCCATTTGGAATGTCACGTAAAAATTAACATTTTGCATTCAAGTTTCACATCAGTGCGCAGGTCTTGGTGTAAGGAGTATAGTGATATGAAAATTATTGTTCTGCAGTATTCATAACTTTAGAAATTAGATATCATTTATAGAAAATGCAAGCAGACCGGCGGGTTTTTCAGCACCCCGACGGGGCTAACAGCTACCCCGTCAGGACCAAATGACAGGACCGTCGGTGTAAAGTACTTACCCCGTCGGTGTAAAGTACTCACCCCGTCTGGGTGACACTGTCATAATCACTAAACCCGACGGGGTAATGTCACCCCCGTCGGTGTGACAGTTCTGGTCAAAGAAGTGCAAAATCCCAAAACAAAGCCAGGAAAGGTGTTAATTGATCAATCTATACACACCGTCGGGGCCAACTTTACCCCTTCGGGGTGAGGTCCAACCCCGTCGGGGTGAGCTCAGACAGTCATCCAATCCAATTGATGTGCAAAAGCGACATTATCAGGACAAAGAATAAGCATGGAGAACACAATCCACACTCTTCTATTTGCCCCTTTCAGCCAACTAAGGGTCACAAAAAAGAAAGATTCCAGAGAGCTTACAAACACATACTCACTACTCCAAAGCTGATGTCTAATAGAATTTTACCATGATCAATATTGACTGAAGGAGGCCATATAAAATAATACTTAAATTTATTTCCTTCTATTTGTAACAATTGAGATCACACAGGTCTTGCAAATAAATTGATCAAGTTCCTCAATTGCTATTACACTGGCCACAATATTCAGGGGTCAAAATTAATGGCTAATAGCAGCTGAAAACAGTCAGTCGTTCTTGTGTATATTGCCCACAAATTTTCATATGGTCATAAGGCCACAACAATTTAATTTCTTGGTTAACGGATTTTTCTAGAAAAATAATGGAGCGAGCGGGCGAAAAAATAAATAAAAATAAAAACAGGCCTAGGCATCCTATTATGGCCCAAAATGGTACAATAGGAGCCATGAAGTCAACACACCAGGCTGGTTGAAAATTTAAACAATGAATTTTGAACTTTTAAAGATATCACTGCATTGAAAGATGGAATGACTGTAACAAGTAGTAAGAAAAGGACAGTTTTCAACTGTTTAGGGCAAAATATGAGCATTTTGCAGTTGATTTTGAATTTTTATTTTTATTTGCAAATCAGAAAAAAATGAAGCGGCGAATCCGTTAACCAAGAAATTAAATTGGTGTGGCCTAATGGTGTCATTTAATGAGCAAAATGCCTTAGCTGGTCAAGAATGAGAGCAATCTCTAGTAATAATTGTCACAAGAAAGGGAGGTTCACTCTTTTACCTCCTTTGTCTGTAAATCAGAGTGGAAGGAGGCCCTTTGTTATAATGTCTGTCATTCAAAATACACGCTGCAAGCAGTGCAAATCAGGACTCACTATAATTCTTCTCAGATATTTAGAGGCATCATGATAAGAAACATGTTGTGAAACTAGGAAGTTGGAACATACATTTTGAACCCTCAAGGTACCACCAGGTGCAGAGTATTTTTGTGAGGATGTCATGAATGGTCTAACCAAGGAGCTTTATAAAGCTTGGTGTGACAATAACTTGCTGAGAAACTTGACATTGTGTGTATTTTGTCCCATTGTTCTGCCTTGTTAGACAAGTTAATTGGCTGCATTGTTTACTTATTGAGACTTTTTACAGCGAAAGGAGCTTTCATCAACGTTAATGAATGCAGCCACTTTGTAGGTCTAAGACACACAAGCGGCCTACAAAATAGTCTCCTGATCATGAGTACATCCTACAATCATATTTCATGGCCTGTTGGAGAAATACTTGAATGATGTGTTTTTGTTTACTGTATTACTACTAAACAGTCAAAATGTACTTCAGAAGGGGAGACATGGCACTTTGGGTGGGTGGGAAAATTTTGTAGCATGGTCTGTTCCATTTGCTGTAGCATGGTAGAAAGACAAGGCTGTAGCTATTGGCCTAAGAAGAGACCATCGGCTACCCAATAATGGTCACCCCGTTGGGCTTGAATGTTTAAGGCCTTGCCACAGTAGGATCTGCTTGGAGATTATAGGTTGGTGGGTGTGATGTTTGAAAAAAAGTGATTTTGCCCTTCTCCGATAACTTTCTTTTCTACAGACCCTGGAGTATTTTCTACATTACAACCACAGCAATGATTATACAAATGTACTAGTACTTCTATGCAAGAAGGTATAAAATGAAATTTAGGAGGAAGGACACAATTGCTGTCCTTTCAAAGAGTTTGCCTCAGGTGTGCAGTTCCAACTTCACGTTGAGGTGCCAATTACCCCCAATTTACATAATGTGCACTGGCTTGGGTTGGCTCAGGCCTGAGACCTTTGTTTTTGTTCAGAGAACTGTGGTGACTGGAAATGAAGTACTAGCTCCAAGCAGATCCTAAGGTGGCAAAAAGACAGTATGAAATTGGCCAGGATCCATCGGACAGAGAGGGTCCAATTTTCCTTGGGTTGGAGCAAGGAGAACCTCCTTAAGAAATGAAGGACAGTATCCTGACCAAGAAGGTTTATTGCAAGTCAGATATCCAGCTGTTATTAGATTGTGCCCGGTCAGTTTCAACCTGTCGACTCACCCAGAAAACAACTTTTGAGTGGGTTGATTTTGATTTTAGCAAATTTTCAAGGAAGAAGAGGGAATTTCAGTCGCAAAGCAATCAGAATCCCATAGACTTTTGAGACAGTAGGGACAGAGGGTTCAAAAAGTGGGGGGGAAAATGTTAGCTTATTTAAGTCACTATATTTCCCCACTACATGATCAACAGTTGTGCTGGGTAGATAGACCTCTCTGATGTGCCTGGTAAATGCAGCTACTTGTACATACCAGGATGCATTATTAAGAAGTATCCAATGCATGAAATTTATATACAACTAGAGGTCGAAGATCTCATGTCTTCGTCAGAGGTACATCGTTCTAGAGAAATTACCATGCGTATTCTTCACTCTTTTTAATAATCAATTTGGTCTAAAGAACAAAAGAATCTCTGTATCATTTTTATGGTACAGAACACCCTGAAACGGTTTGCCGCAGATTATACAGATGCGTCGTCACCCGTGTTACGCCCCCCCCTACGTTATTTGAGTTTGGACTGTTACTGGAAAAAAAACGTTCAAGAAATTCTTACTGTGTTGAAAGTGTCACGACAGCGCCGCAAAATATAATAAGAGAAGATGTTATAAAGGAAAGAATCAGAACAGGGTGACTACTGCTGTTTTGTTAATTTGTCTTTATGACAAATAGAAGACTTGTTTCTTGTGTTCTTTGTGTCCTAACATTTGTACTTCTACAGTTAGTATATTCCAAATCTAGGCATCTCGTTTTTCGGCCCTTCGTGTTTTTATTGCGCGCTTGCCTTAAATTTAAGGTAATTAGATTTAAGGTCTCCAGTGGACGTCATCCATAGCAATTACTTGGTGTGGCCGTAGAAAATAACCTGACATATGTCCAACCTATCCTCCCCTGCTGAAGTTATAGTACAATCCTCAATGTAACGTCATTTGATCCCATCCCATTACGGGGTTCCCCGGCGGTAACGGCTATATCCAGACTGTCGGCTGTCTCCAAGCAGATGTAGGTGGGGGATTTCTAAACACAAAAGGTCCTATTACGGGGACATAACGACCTCCACGACTCTCATCTTTGAACTCAATCTTGGAGACCACGACAGTAATATGCCTATCAAATTTCATTAACTTCCATCCACACATACAAAAGTTATCCTGCTCACAAGAAAAATTAACAAAATGCCCCCTGTAGTCACAATGAAACCCCCCACGAAGCTCAGTAACGAACTTAACCTTGGTCCTAACAATAGTAAGCACCACACCAAGAATTATAATCAACATTTTACAAATACTTGAGTTATCTTGCTAACAAGCCACAAACACAAAATGTGCACTAACGTGACGCACGGACCCCCCACGAAGCCGAAACTTGTACTTGAATTTGGCCTCAACAGCGGTAATATGCCTGCCAAAAATCATGGACGTCGAATGATGCCTTCCGGAGTTATATGATCGCAAAATCCGCAGTTCCCCACACTCCGGCGAGACAATTTCATAGTCCTTCTGACGAAGACAACTAGTACTGGTTTCCAAAACGTGGCTCATGCTAATAATTCAGTCAAAAAGTGGCTAGAATATTCCTTAGAATCAAGCCATGAACATGGTTTTAAAAAAGTCGCTATTGTAAGCACTATTCACATGACATTAATCAAGTCATGCCAAACAAATGGAAAAACCTGGAATTTGTTTATATTCAGACTCTTTGTTTTGGTCCGTCCATGTTGGGGCAATTCTTGTGTTGGCGGGCCATGTTTTTGACTGTGAAGTTGAAATAAGAAATATTGGAAAAGTTGTTCCAGATTATTTCCAGTTTTGGCAACAAAATACTAGACTAAGTATATATAAATATGAGCCTAAAGACTAAGTAGATAAGCAAGAAGCTTAATACTAGTATTCACAACTTGAGCCTGCTTTCAAAGCAAGGAATTATACAATCCTCTATTTCTGTCCAACAGTACCCATTCGGTAATTATTCTGCTCCAGGTACAATTGTTATGCGGGATAAAACTAGGTTAGCTATTGTTCTTGACATGCAAATGTCACTGTATCAACTTGATACAAATTATCCTATAAGGGAGTATTGGGTTACATGCTAAATTACTGGTAGTATCTCGGCAGCTTGTACTGGGTCACCCAGGAAAAGTCAGAAAGATAGCCGGCATGTGAAAACTAAAGAACATTGTAATTGTTAAAGACATACCAACACATTGACTATTTGGCCCTTCATCCAGTCAGATTTTCTGCTATCTGGCACCTAACATTGCACTTGGCCATGGGTTTATAGATACATGTAGTAGTATGTGTATTTTTGTTTGCTGCATTGACTGTTAGCACCTATGAAGTATAAAAAAATAATAGCAATGGTTTCTTAACAGATTTTATTATGATGCATACTTTTCAAAGTCTGAGTAAGTGCAAGCAAAATTTGTCTTCTTTGTCTGGTCCAGGTAATGTTAACTGCACCAGTGCAGGTATGCAGTGAAAAATATTTTGAGCCCTGGGGTATTCTGCTAATGATATAGATGAGTTTATCCATGGAGTTTGAAAAGTTTTTATCAAAGTTTATTAAATTTTTAGCCATATCCAAACTCTATTCTTAGTCTTAGCCAGGTTAGAGGTCATAACCTCCTTGCTAGAATTCATCCTACAGTGAGCTAGGTATTGTTGGACAAAGACTTAACCTCCTTGTTAGGACCTACAGGATTGTACATGTCATGTACATATATATGGCACTCATGTGGAGCAGGTTGACTGGTCAATCATATCCATTCCTGCCATGTCAGATCTCCATGACTCATTGAAGACAATGTTCTTTCATAATCCTGGAAAATACAGTCTAGAAAAACTGCAGGAATACACACAGAACTACAATAATGAAGTGATATAATAAACTGTGTATAAACCGCCATCAACCTAGAAGCAAGTTTAATGTTATTATCTTTTAAACTTCATTGGGAAATTACTTTCAGTCTGGTCTGAACTAGCCCAGCCTGTTCATGATCCTGACACACTGACGGGGCTGTTAAACACACCGACGGGGCTGTCCAACCCCGTCGGGGTAACCTTTGAGCCCAGACTTCTCATGAATTATCACACAAACTTGCTAATTACACTGGTGTGAAGATGTGAATTCTCATTAATTCAGTGGTTTTCATGGAGTGTTCATGAGGATAATTGTATGCGGTCTGGGTGCGGGGTGGTTTTCCACCCCGACGGGGTAAGAGTAAATTACTACCGACCGGGGTGGGCTGTTGATCCCGTCGGTGTGGCTTGTACACCGACGGGATTGCAATTTTTAAAGTGAAATATCTTGACAAATATGTATGTTTTGACCATAAAAAAATAACCTGGTACTGGGGATAATATGATCTTTCAAATGGTATGTAAAAATTTACTGTACCTGCAGAAATGGAAAAGTTGAAAATCAGGGATTTCAACATGGCCGTCTGCAAAATTTAATTCGGAAAGTGAGTGAGTCATTCCAAAATTGAAGTGACCAGTGTTAAATGATGATTTTTTTGGTCGAAAAATCGATGATCTGTTTTTTCAGGCAAACCTACCTTATTTTTTAGGAAAACATCTCAAATAATGATTACCAAAAAAGGACAGCTTAATTGCTATGGGAAGTTACCGAAAATCTATGCACTAACTAAAGATAAGACATAATATGTAAACAATGCAATTTTAGTGCTGCAAAAACGCTGGAACATTGGCATGAATTGGGTGTACGATAAAGCTTGTATTCATGACATCACTTCAAAAGCCATTAGTAGGCGTCAGTATCTATGAAAGTACTTCTGTCAGCCCATTATATACTGGTAAATATACACGTATCTAACACATAAAGATAGCTAAGTGTAGTGTATAGAAGTAGCAAAAAATATCTTTGGAAGCAAAGAAGAGTAGAACATTTGAGTTTGTTGACGCCACAGAGGGTTATTTTTCTTCGGATCCATATTTTTTCTACTTTATTTCCAACTATTATGTTTATGGGGCGTAGGGAAGGGAAATTCAATCTCTTGTTACGTCTTTTTCGCTACAGGTGTAACTTCCGTTACCGGTAACGGATGTTACAAAACGGACGTTTTTGTTTATTTCTCAAAGAAGATCTGCAGTTTTTATCTTCATCCTTTGAGAACAAGTACGGACATTTTAAAACTGGGTGACTTTTTATATACCAGGTGAAGAAACTAAAATTGAAAGTAAAAACAACGGTAACGGATTTTTTTTTGTTTGTTTCGCATAACCGGTAAACCGCCTTCAGGCGTAACACACCAGTTTTGTACATGTGCGCACATGTACAAGCTGCGTAAGACCGGACTGTAAGTTTTGAACCACTCACACCGGGAAGATCCCCTACTCTTTTCGATAAGTGCGGTGGGTTCTTTAACGTGCATGGGGTGTGGCTCTCCCAAACACGGGACCTCCATTTAACGTCCTATCCGAGGGACGTCCCTAACTTCGGTTAGGTACTCATTTTCACCTGAGTGAAGTGAGGAAAGTCGTGTAAAGTGCCTTTCCCAAGGGCACAAGATCGGTGACATGGGCAGGGTTCGAACCCACAACCTCTGGGGTGTGAGCCGAACGCGCTACCGACTGCGCCACACGACCCCACCTTAATGTTACATTCATTACTGTAAAACAATTTGTTCAGCGAAGGTGGCTACAAATGACAGCACACCCTCTTTTCTTCTTCTCTTAGAAACCTAGAAAACTTGCTAAAAGTCATCAAAATGGCAATTTCTTGTCTTATATGTGACTCTATCTAAACTGCACGACCGTCTTGCTTGAGCGGTAAGGCCATGTTGATTTGATTATATGGATGACATCCGCGCGTGCATGAATTTTCGGCCGTTTCCAAAAAAAAAAAAAGTTTTCAACCATACTGTAAATCGTGCAAAACAGTTGCTAAATGAGCAAAACATAAGTTGCAAGGAAAACATTTAGAAACGATACCAATGTCATACAATGCCAAAATCAAAGGAAAAAAGACAAAAATGTAAAGAAATGAATTCGAAGAGTAGATTATTCGCCATAACATATTCTGTGCCATTTGTTCAACCTTCATGGCCACGTAGATTTCATAGTGAAAGCTAACTTTTTTTTTGACTAAAACTTTTTTTTTTATTCGTC